CTCTCTCTCTCTCTCTCTCTCTCTCTCTCTCTCTCTCTCTCTCTCTCTCTCTCTGTGTGTGTGTGTGTGTGTGTGTGTGTGTGTTTACACAAATGAGATCAACAATGGGTGAGACTAAGAGAAAGAATGTATTTGTGGGGATTTTGTTGTTCATTGTCTTTCTAGGTTGAACAGAAGCAATGGAGCAGGTTCAAAGTCACAGCTCCCATGAACTGAATTTCATTTCTCCAGTCTGTCTCGCCTTATTTAAGATTGTCAAGATCTTCCAACTTTTTCTCAAGGATCTGTAGTTTTCAGAAAACATATCTTGCTCCCAGGCACTTTTCCAATCATTTAAATTTTTTTCCTTTTAAATAAATTCAGCATTTTTTACTGAACCAAGCTTAAATCATTAAAAAATAAAATAAAACATCCTTGTTTCTCCAAACTGTTTAAGAATTTTAATCATTCTTTTATCCCATTTCCTAGCATTACTTTTCGAATGGTTTGGATTTAGGCAAACCTAAAATAGATTTTAGCCAAGACTCCCTTCCACCCTTAATTTTTAAACCCATGTGTATTTTAAGGGAAATTTAATACATATGCTTCTAATTCATGTGCACTTAACTCATCAGAACATTGTTTTGTAAGACCTGTTTGAAGTTAAGAAGTCTTTTTGGAGCCTTCCTTTAATAAGACTTTTCAAGCCTTTATTCTTAGAAGCAGGAAGTCATATTTTGCCAGGAGTAAATGAATTTAAACCCCTGACTCAAGGTTTACATTTAGCCCCAAACTGACAGCCAAGATACTTTGTGAGCTATGTCCAAAAACAAGTTCTTTTGCCCCTAGGATTAATTAGTTTTATTTGTGCTGTGCTTTAAGTCAGAAATCTTAGACAAGTCTTTATCTTACTTGAAGATGCAAAAGTTGTCAATATTCATGAAAAGATCTAACTCTTAAAAACCACTCTGTATGCACCATAAAGCTCTTAATATTTGCTGATATATTTTACTAATGAGTGTATGAGACTGTTTCCTTAGGACAAGAAACAATAAAAGCTTTCCTTCCACAGTGAGCCACACATAAGTGATGGGAGGGGCATGATGAGACATGGAGAGCAATCACTGGCATAGTAACAGATGACAACACCTCTGTGCCTATAAATATAGCACAACGAGGACATTGATGGGTTTTAGCACAGGTCCATGTGTCAGTGAATCTGACAAGAAATACAAAGAGCAAACAACAAAGGGGAGAGATGAGACATTTAACAAGATGCCATTGATGAATGATGAAGACAAGGAAGACAACAGAAATCTCGGAGTTTTAAAAGGATGACTCCTTGAGCTAGGATGCTTCCATCAGAATTTGCACTTCTGTTGATGGCCACAGCTGCTTCCCTGTTGTTTAGTGCCACATTTTAGGCTACAGCTGAAGTTTAGGAATGAGGCTTACCTTGTTTTTGTTTGCTTCCTGAAAAGCTAGTGAAAGCCACAAACTACAGGAAAGAATACTTACCTGAGTTTCTTTGTGATGAATAGCCCATCACATTTAAACAAAGCCAGTAAGTCTCATTATTGTAAGCCTAGCAATCAGCACATTTTTTTTTTTTTTTGCTGTTTATTGATAGAAATGAGTGCAGTCCAGTCACTAGCATCAAAAGGTATGTATGCCTTTTGGCCTGAGAATAAACAAAGATTAAGAAATCTTTATTTCCTGCCCCTAGAGGAGTTGCAGGCATGGCTGCTGTGTCACATGTGCATCTGTAGGTGGCAAAAAGCAGAGAAGGTGTGTCTATGCTCAGTGTTCTGATCTATGAACATCTGAATGATTAGTACCCTAACATTCTCTGAAAAAAGCAAGCCCAAGAAGACCATCAGTCAGGGGTCAGGGGGGCAGGACAGGGAGCTACTCCGAGAAGACCACCAGTCTAGTATTGCACAGGGCTGGATGGGCTCCCAGACTGAGAGTGAGTCAGAAAAGAGACAAATCTGGCATGGCCAGAGCAAGCCAGAGACTAGAAAAACCCAGCCTGGAACCTCAGGCCTCAGGCAGGAGTGAGCTTGAGACAAATGATCCCCACCACACACACACCCTCACACATACATGGGACTATACCTGGGGGTCCGACAAGAGGAGCAAGTCAAAGATAACCATTAGTCTAGTGCTATGAGGTGTGAACAGGGAGGTAGCCTGAGATGACCACCAGTCCAGTGCCACACAGGCCTTGGGGACAAGCAAATCATCGAGAGATGAACCCTGCCTGGTGCCATAATGCTCAGGCAGGCATAGCACTCCTGAGACCACTCCTGGGAGCCCAGACACTCAAACACCCTGGGCGCCACAAAGAGGAGCAAGTAAATGGTGGAGAAATCGAAAAGAAAGAGAAACAGAAGGATGTGGGCACAGGGAAGAGGGACAGAACTAGAGACTAGAGGGTAGGGAGGAACAGCCTGATGTGAGTACCCAGTGATGCCATCTAAGGCTATGGTGGGATCCTGGTCTGTACTGCCACCAGGGGCCATGTGTGGGTCTGTAGCTGTGTGCAGGTAAGGGTCTGCTAACACCAAAGGCCAGATAGACATCCTTGATATGGGCTGCCACTTGTTGATATCGGAGGACTGTGCAAAAGTGGCCCCACCCATTGCCTGGACATCTGGGGACTGTCCCTGTGGTGTAAGAACAGAAGAGCTACCCCTATCCCTAAACAACTGCAGCACTGTGGAGAGAGGCAAGCATGTTTCCAAGGAAGCACAGTAGATCTGAGCTTGGTTGTGGGAGTTGCTAGTGAGTTGATCCTTAGTGTATGAGTGTGGGACAGCTGGACTTGTCACTAGTCCTCTGTGCAGTGGCATAGATTAGAGAGCTATCCACTCTTTCCCCTTTGTCCCTTACCACCTCTGAGAGCAGGAGACCTGGCCCTGCACCCTACCAGCTGCAACACACTCAGGACAGTGGGCCCTGTACACACCTGTGCTGCACATTAAGCTGATCCCGGTGGAGAGGACACAGGTAAGCTACCTGAGAGCATGCTCATGGTAGAGCTAGCCCCATGACTTTTCCGTCATGCTGTGGCATGGGCTAGGGAGAGATGGTTCCCTCCAGGCTTGCCACCTATAGCAGGCAGGAGAGCTGACTCCAGGTCATCACAGCAAGAGAGCAGGCCCTGCCTCTTGTTTGAAGTATGGTTGCCTCCCTTTTCCCCTAACCACCCAGTGAAGGTAGACGAGTTGGCTTTGGTTTAATGAAAGAAGAAAAAGTTGAGCTGCCTCTGGATGTGAGGCTTGTAGATGATCCTGCCCAGAAGGTTTGAGAGCAGAAAAGATGCGCTTTTCCCCTCTCTAGTTCCTCATCACTTACAACAAGCAGAAGAGTTGGCTCTGGGATCATGAGAATAGGAGAACTGGCCCTGTACCTTGTCTGTTACAGCAGCCAGGCATCAGCAGTGGGTCCTGACGGCATGGTGTAGATGAACTGCCCCTTGCTGGTGGTGACATTGGATGAGCCAGATGGGACAGGGCAGGAGAGCTTGCCCTGATGGTCTGGGTGCAGGAGAGCTGCTTTGAACTGGCTCACCCCATCAACTCCATCAATGAACTACTAGAGTGCTTGAAGGGGCCAGTCCTGCAGATCCTGAACTACAGGATCTCCATGAAACAGGCAAACAAACAATAGAGTATCCAAGAGGAGTCCCAGTGAGATTCCAGGGTTGACAGTGTAGAGGAAACCAGAGGCCTTGTACCCGACCAACAAATCATTACATCAAACAATTGAAAGCAAAGAAATATAGTCAAAAGAACATACTGTGAGACACACTGTGACACACTACAGTTTCTACAATGGGATTTTTTCCCTCTGTTGTGGGAAATTTGCATGGGTGGAGTGCAGATAAAATGGTAAGGGGAAATGAATGGGATTGGGGTGCATGATGGGAAATTCACCAAGAATCAATAAAGGAAAGGAAGGAAGTTCTTAGTTTCATGACAAAGCAGGAGCAATGACACAGTTTTACAGAGAATCAGGTACTCCTGCGAGAGAGCATGCACCTCTGGGATAACCTGCAAGGATGTATTTTGAAGATCACCTTAGTGGACTAACCAACATTCTCTTCTTGCTTCTCTCACTACTCAAGAAAAAAGATTCTCAGGGGAAGCAAAGAACTACATAAAAAACTGTGTATGGTTCCTTTACTTTGTATTCTCTTTTGGTTTTCCATGATCACTTTCTGATTCTAATTTCTTTGTTAGATCTCTCTCTCTCTCTCTCTCGTCTCTTTCTCTCTCTCTCTCTCTTTCTTTCTCTCTCTCTCTTTCCCTCTCTCTCTCCCTCCCTCCCTCCTTCCCTCCCCTTCCCCCTCTTTCCCTCTTTCTCCATGTAGTCTACCATTTCCTTAATATTCTGACATTGTATTTCCTTCATCCCCCTGTGTTTCCAGCGAATCTGCCTCTGCCCTCCTCACCCTCCATCTGTTCTTTGGCCCCAGGTTCACCTCTTCTGCTTCTAGCTAGTCTGCTCTGGTTTTCCTCCAGGACTAAAGCACAAAGGCAGAAGAAACCTTTTTCTTTTCCTTTTCTTCCCTACAATCCACTCTCTCCCAGCCTCTGCTAGCACTGAACAGTAAATTAACTGTGGCAGGAGGAAACCCACATTAACCCTTGGTTGACAAGAGAGGAGTCAGAAAGAAAGTGCTGGTTAAGAATTGGAGCAAAGCATAGACACGCATATGTTTAACAAACCAGAGAGGCTTGGTGACATTGCCTATGAGGTTCCCACTTATTAAGGGTTTAGTCTTGCTGAGGCATTTAACCTTCCATTGAGTCTTGATATGATAGGTCACTGCCATCTGACACATCCCCTATCTAATATAGTCAGCAGACCTTAGCAGCAAGCAGGTACTGCTCCCTCTGGCTGAATTGGTCCAACCATGATGCTGTCATTGCAGAAGGCTCCTGTTCTGTGCTTAGAAAGTGTTTGATTTTAGAGGGCTTCCTGTCACTAAGAGGAAAGTTGCCTCACTGTTACACACAGAAAGTTTATTCAGTTAAGATTTCAGGCTAAAACCTGTGATGGCATGGAAGGTGGTCAGCATAAAGTGTGTGTGTGTGGGGGGGTGCTCAAAGTATATGAAATTAACAATACTTAGAAAATAATAAAGACACAAGAATTCTCTTTAGTTGGGCGTTTGCATGAAAATCACCAAAGAAACCCAATACTTTACCCTCACCTAATACTGAAGACTCTTAGTCTTGATTTGGTCTCCCTACCCTCCACAACTAAGACACCTTTGTTTGCTGTGGATTAGCCAGTGAGACTGTGATACTTTCTATGATCCAAGCATGAATGATCTGGGGCATTGTGATGCTCCTTGCTGAGCACAGATAGCATCTGTTGCCTATCGCTCTCTCTCTCTCTCTCTCTCTCTGTGTGTGTTTAATCAACATTGTCGACTCTCCTGGATTTGGAATCACATGGGAAACACATTTCTGGTCATGTCTGCAAGGATGTTTTTTATGTTTAAATAAGGAGGGAAGGCACATGGTAAGTGTAGGAGCCTCATCCACTTGGGTGAGGATCCATACTGAGCAAAGTGGGGAAAAGAGAAAAGTCACACGAATGCCAGCATTCCTCTCTCCTTCCTGCTCTATATGGATGTGAGCCATATCTGCCACAGCCATGAGCTGCTGTAACACCACTTATTCCCTTTATGACAGACTATATCCCAGTGAACTGTGTGCCAAAATACCCCCTTCTGCCCATTTGCTTCTTTGTGTCAGGTATGCAGCAAATACTTGCACTCTATTTCGTGAGCATAACCTCTGAGTAGCCATAAGAGTCAAAAGCTATGTGATAAGTAACAGAATGAGGGATGAGAAGAGACCTGAACTGGGGTAAGAGGACTGAGGGAAGCAGAAACTTCTTAACGGGAAACTATTGTAGATGCAGCTGATCCCATATAACACCCAAAATAAATGACTGGGACCCGTCTCGCAGAACGTCAAGTCAGTCTGCTCAGAGGCAGGATCCAGTGAACCACATCTCACCCATGGGAAATCATTCATGGTTGAAGAAGCACAGATGGGTCAGAGAGCCTCTCCTAAGTCTTAGCATATGTGTGTGCCTGGGGCCCCCACACTTCCTCTGGAGGAAGAGAAACAAAAACATTTATAGAATGATGACAAATTTCATAGTGAACTTAAAATGTGAATCAACCCAATGGAAATGGCTAACCTAAGGAGGACCTTGTGTTTCTGCCCTTTGTCATTCCCCTTGTGCAGTGAATGGGACTTCACAGTAGGGAAAGTTATTTGTTTTGTTCTGTGTGGGCCATAGTTCTCAAATCTCTATTCTTCTGTGAGGTTAATCAACCAGTTGTGATTATTACCTACCAAACAACCCTATAACCTACAAGTAATAACTACAGAATATGAAAAATATTCCTATATATTAAACTGAAAATATCTGCATCTGGCATGTAGAGGGTATAGGGTACATTTATATAGTATAATACAGATAGTTTTTCTCTAATGTTTGATCTTCCTACCTTTCTCCCTTTTCCTTGACTAGGTCTTTCTCATGAGAGTCTTTTCAAGTTTCAAATTTTAAACATAATATTAAAACCCACAGATTCATTCCTGGCAACCTGTCCTTACTAAAATGATGAAATAGCTGGTGACCTGTATTTGCCTACTCCCAGATGTTACAAATCATATTAATAGCTATTCAAAAGACCTAAAGCCAATGATTCCACTTTTAGTTTAGCATACAACTTCTTTTAACATTACAGGTTCAAATAGGTGCTATCATTTTAATTGACATAAAAATACCACAAGGATTTTTTCCCATATGT